ACTGGTACAAAATTAAAAACATTTTATTTAGGCCTATCTATGGCCTTCAAAAAGTTGACGACTCTACATGTTTCGACGTTACAATGTCATCCTGTAGAGTCGTCAACTTTTTGAAGGCCATAGATAGGCCTAAATAAAATGTTTTTAATTTTGTACCAGTTTAACGTTGAATATTATTTATGATTTTTACGTTATAGTTATAAAAGCTGTAGGGGCCAGGAACACTTAGTAAGGTGAATAGTGTAATCGGGTGAAAAATGTTACCACGGCGGGTACACTCAACTGATTTATGGAAATGTCACTAGGTGCGCGGCTGTAAGAACTAGTTTAAAGTTGCCACTGACAACCGCATGATATACTACAAGACGTATCATTTCTCCACGAATCATGTGAGCTTTCGTCGCAATATCATCCTGCATTTAAAAAAACCCTGTTGCTTGGCTAGAGCGGCATACCCCTCTCTTCAAAAGATCTTATGACCAGTAGTAAGGTCAGGAGAGCGTGTCGATCAAGGCGGTGGAAGTAGATGCTGGAAATTTTCAACATGCTGACAGCAAACAGACCATCTTTTACTGGTCTTGTAGCAGACCATCTTTCACTGGTCTTGTAGCAGACCATCTTTCACTGGTCTTGTAGCAGACCATCTTTCACTGGTCTTGTAGCAGACCATCTTTCACTGGTCTTGCAGCAGACCATCTTTCACTGGTCTTGCAGCAGACCATCTTTCACTGGTCTTGCAGCAGACCATCTTTTACTGGTCTTGCAGCAGACCATCTTTTACTGGTCTTGCAGCAGTATACTCGGGGTATTGCGTCACTGTCGCATCCATTTTGACAGGTGAGATACAGCTTTACCCGAGCCTGTCAGATACAGATTAACGGTTATCCTCTTCTACTGTCAGATACAAATTAACGGTTATCTTCTTCTACTGTCAGATACAGATTAACGGTTATCTTCTTCTACTATCAGATACAGATTAACGGTTATCCTTTCTACTGTCAGATACAGATTAACGGTTATCCTTTCTACTGTCAGATACAGATTAACGGTTAGCCTTTCTACTGTCAGATACAGATTAACGGTTATCCTCTGCTACTGTCAGATACAGATTAACGGTTATCCTCTGCTACTGTCAGATACAGATTAACGGTTATCTCTTCAATCCTCTGCTTGCATACCATCCTAAATTGCTTGTGGTCCGCCCTCTAGTGCCATTTGTAGAGATTACTTGAAGGCACTTCCCATAATTCCTTATGTATGTACGCAAAACGTTTCACCTATATTTGACACGGTTCACCATAGACATTTCCAAATGACAACCTCACTAACTATATAACCACCTTGATCGACTTGTTGTCTCCGAAGTAACTGTTATCTTTCAGTCTTGTCTCCTAGCAAACCTGGTGTTGTGACCTACAACAGTTTGTTTGTTTTTGGAGATTCTTACAAAGCTATTCAAGGGCTAAGCTATAGCTGACTTTAATTTTGAACTGATGGACTAGAGTGATGGTAGCTGGTTTTGTTAAACCGAATATTGCCATTGGACAGTGATCCTTATATATCTGACCCACGGCCCCAAATGTAGAGCGCGATATGTGTGTGTGTGTGTGTGTGTGTGTATTTATCATTATTATTATTTGTCATAACGGTACGCTTAAGCTGGACCCTCACATCCATAGTCCGTCATACTAAACACTAGGCTAGGCTTAGCCACCTCTGTGTGTGTGATCTAACAAAGTAATCAGTCATTGTTAGTAAAATATGTTCATTGGAAAAAAAACAGTAAATTGGAACATTCTTCTTTCACGATATTGAAATGTTCCAGGATGAAGAACCTCGTCATGCTGAGCTAATAAAGGTTTACAATGCTAATTCAGACTCTAAGTTAAATCTGATTTTGTGAACGATGTTGTAGAGTTTATCGGATTTATAAATCTAAGAGATACATCTGTGACTTTTGGACAAAGTTCTAATGGATGGTAAGAGACGTATCAGTAACATTCGAACACAATTTTAATTAACCTAAGAGATGTGCAGTTACTTCTGGTCAAAGTCCCTAATGAATGTTAAAAACGTATCATTAACGTTTGATCAAAGTTATAATGAACCTTACAGCTGTATCACTTACTTCTGATCAAAGTTATAATTAACCTTACAGATGTATCACTTACTTCTGATCAAAGTTATAATGAACCTTACAGATGTATCACTTACTTCTGATCAAAGTTATAATGAACCTTACAGATGTATCACTTACTTCTGATAAAAGTTATAATGAACCTTACAGATGTATCACTTACTTCTGATAAAAGTTATAATGAACCTTACAGATGTATCACTTACTTCTGATAAAAGTTATAATGAACCTTACAGATGTATCACTTACTTCTGATAAAAGTTATAATGAACCTTACAGACGTATTGGTAACTTTGAATAAAGACCTAATGAACCTAAGAGATTTATCAGTAACCTCTGATCAAAGCAATTTAACTACATAGATGAAAACTTTAAAAAATGTTGCTAATTTTACATAACGCACTAACTAGGAGTTTATCATATCGTAAATCGTTTCACGAGAAAACTAAACCTTATCATTAATTGTTATAATGCGTTGATTCACAGTTACACATTTCACGAGAAAACTAAACCTCGTAATTAATTGTTATAATGCGTTGATTCACAGTTACACGTTTCACAAGAAAACTAAACCTAATAATTAATTGTTATAATGCATTGATTCACAGTTTCACGACAAAACTAAACCTTATAATTAATTGTTATAATGCATTGATTCACAGTTTCACGAGAAAACTAAACCTTATCATTAATTGTTATAATGCATTGATTCACAGTTAGACGTTTCACGAGAAAACTAAACCTTATAATTAATTATTATAATGCGTTGATTCACAGTTACACGTTTCACGAGAAAACTAAACCTCATAATTAATTGTTATAATGCGTTGATTCACAGTTTCACGAGAAAACTAAACCTTATCATTAATTGTTATAATGCGTTGATTCACAGTTTCACGAGAAAACTAAACCTTATCATTAATTGTTATAATGCGTTGATTCACAGTTTCACGAGAAAACTAAACCTTATCTATTAGTTGTTATAATGTGTTGATTCACAGTTACACGAGAAAACTAAACCTTATCATTAATTGTTATAATGCGTTGATTCACAGTTTCACGAGAAAACTAAACCTTATCATTAATTGTTATAATGCGTTGATTCACAGTTACACGAGAAAACTAAACCTTCATATTAATTGTTATAATGCGTTGATTCACACTTACGTAGCAATCCAACTAGGTTTTTTCCAGCTTAGGAGATTTATATTAATTTTAAAACAATTTATTAAACTAACAATGCAAAATCACTTTTATAACTATAAAAAAAAACATTAACGGAAATTAAATAAACAGATAATGAAGGATACAGAGTATTGGATACATTATATATAAACGATTTTTCATATGGAAATCAGCAAGTCATGTGACAATCAGAATCGTTATAAAGTCAGGGTAAACGGAATGTATAAAAACTGCATTATTTCATTGCTTGGCATTTGGTAATAGTATGATATGATCAGATTGAAGATTTAGAATTTCCGAGGTTGAAATATACCTTGCACTTAACGAAATTTGAAAACAAAGCA